GGATATGAGGATGGGATGTGCCCCTGAGGGACCTGAAATTACATCCTCAACTGCTGCTCCCACGGCGTCAACCAAAAGGCTGGTGCATCTGTGCCACCACACCTCCCCTCTGGATCTGTCTCTGCTTACAAACAATATGTCTTGTATCAAACAAGCCTTAGGAGCAGAAAAATCTGTTTATGATAAAGTGTACACAGCCTGCTTTTACTTATGAGCAATTGTGTAACTAGCCAAAGATCCACTGAGTTAAACAACACATTTCCAAAAAAACCCCAAAACCCACAAACACCCACGCCCTGATTTGTAAATATTTGTTCATCTAAATTGTTATATATTAGGATCCTTTCTTTTTTTCATCTTAGACATTGCTAGATCATGTATATCACACTCTAGTATATAGGAAATATGTATCCATGAACATACATAGATCTCACCCAGCATAGAATTGCCAGCTATCAAGAAAATCCAACCTAACAGTATCTCCTCCTCTGATATGCTGACTCTGTTTGAAGAAACAGCCACAAACTCAGGTGCTTTTGGATGAGGGAAATGAATGGATTTTGAAGTCATTTGGCATTCAATAGGGAAAATGCTCATGAATGCTTACGTCTTATAATCTAAGCGAGCTCTAGAGTTCCCCTCTCTAAATTGTGTCAGTACAGCACAAAAGAGGCAATTGGTCAGGAATGAATTACTTTTTAGGTCAAACCAACCATATTGGAAACCAATAAGCAAACCAGCAAGAATTATGGAGCCCTGGAGCTACATGCTCCCAGCGAGACACCCAACATGTGATCTGCCTTATTTGGCAACAGCTTTAAATGTGTTGCCCTGTATAGATCTTCACAGATGACCACCAAGACCAGGGAGAAAAAAATAACAATTTCCTGACCAAATTCAGTTGGAGCAAAGTCCTCCAGGTTAGCTCTGCTATTCTGTGGAAATCTAACCAAATTAAGTTATAAAAATTATTTTAAAATAATGAAACTACACCCTCAGTCAGGAGGATCAATGTAATCCTAGCCATGTTCTCTAATTATTTCCCAGCCCACAATAATTGACTTGGTCTTAGCGAGATTGAATCATAACCAACTCTCTCTCATTTGAGCCTCAAATGCATCCAGGCATTTCAAGAGAAATTCCACTGCTCTGTAGGTGGAAGGAAGCTCACCTTCCCCAAAGTGGTGGAGAACAGGGAGCAGTCACAGGTCAGGCTGGGCCAGTGTTTGATAAATTTCTGTAATCATACTAAGAAATTCCTGTCCTCCTTCAAAATCCTCCTTAATGCTTCCCTTTTCCTTGGTGCTTACAAAAACCTTGCCCATTACTAAGTTCTTGGTGTGCTAACACACTGCTCCTCAGGCTGACCAATGCTGTCTCAGTGTTTCCTTGTGCTCCTCTCCTCTTTCTGTTTGTTGCCTCTTGCCTTTCAGTGAAATTGAAAGCTCGTTGAGTCAAGGACCACTTTTTGTCCTGTGTTTATAAGACACCGAGCCTTTGTCATAGGCAAGGACCCCATAGGCAAAAACTAGGTGTATTAGTAATAAAATAATAATTGAAAAATAATCTCCAAACAATATGAGTTTTAGTCACTTCCAATATTATTAACAGAGGAAATGTCTATATGTTTTCAGATTCCTGTTACAAAGCCCTTTAGAGTGTTCATCATGTGTATTCAAACTGCTGCAAAAATAACTGTTGCTAATGATTACCTTGAGAATGAAATCCTCTTTCCATGACCCCATGTTTGACTTTCATGTGCCTGGTGAGGTTTCCCTTCAAGGTGAATTTGCTGGGACAGTAGAGACACTTGAAAGGTTTGCTGTCTGAGTGTAAGTGCATGTGTCCCATTAAATTGTGCATTCTGTTAAATTCCTTTCCACAAAGCTGTCAAAAACAATGGAAATTAAAATGATTTATTTTGTAGATATACCGACAAGAAGAACACTTTAAAGGTAAATACAATCCCCCCTTCATGAGATGAGAATGTACTGCACCCAACAGCTTCTCACTGCATTTTATCATGGTGAATTGCATCCAAAATACCCCAGTACTGGACCAATGTGGTTGGGGTTATTCTGTCCAGACACTTTTACGCAGCTACACTTTAAGTTTCCAGTGACTTATGGCAGACTCAAAATCAAGGGCCCTTCAAAACTGGTGAAGTCATCTGAAGAAAGTAAGAGGGTTAATGCTATAACCTGTCATGCTCTTAACTTTAAACAAATCACAAGTAACACATTTCTAGGCCAGCTAGGCCAATGGTTTTCAATCTGTGTTTTGTGGACCCTTGGGGGTCTGCAGACTATGTCTAAGTAACCTGCCAGAGATGACTATGATCAATCAAAAGTATGTGAATACCCACATTTACCATTCAAAGGGGTCTGTACCTCCATTCAAAATTTTTTAGGGGTTCACAAATGAAAAAAGGTTGAAAATCACTGAGCTAGGTCATACACTTTCTGCTTTTTAAATCTAGACTTTAATTGAGAGCAATGCCATATTGAAAAGGAGTAGGAAGACCTTTAGATGCAAGATCAGATGGGGAAAGGAAACCTATAGAACACTTATTGAGATTATAACTTCCCCTTTACTTGACTTGAGGTGACAGAATTTTTAAGGTTAAAGATAGAACAAGCAATTCCTTTTTTTCTTGGTTTTCCTCTAATCTGCTCCTTTTCTGACTACTACTTGTATTTTTGTGCCTGTGATGAGTAAGCTGGAGTTTAGACAGTCCTGGGGCTACATTAGTGACTCAGACTTCCCTGCTGCATGCTTGTCAGCTCAAGCCATTGACTCAGTAGGTTTCCCTTTGATAAGACGATACTTTTTCATTTTTTCCCCCATAAGTATCCTTTTATTGTCTCTTCTCCTACAAAGGAATGCTCTCAAGGACACTGAAGTTTGATAACCTTATCTGGATTTACACAACTGAATTTAAAACACTCTTATTAGGAATTATAAATTTACTTATTCCTTTCAAATTGGTGTCTTCCCCAACCAAGAATGTTTTCATGAGTTGTAGAACCTCTACATTTTAACTCCTTTCTGGAAAAATTTTAGACAAATACTTTTCTAATAGAGTTATTTAATCAGAGTCTTCATGTTACATGACCTCACCTTTATTCCATACCTAAAGATACTATTTTCTCCAATATTTGTAATAGGGAGAAAATGTTGACAGTGTATTCATTAAGATTTCATTGAATTTAAATGAGAAATTTTGGTTTTATCTCATTCTGATTTTGATATTTATGACATTTTGGAAATCTACTATGCTATTATTGAGGGCTAATTCAAATTTACAGAGCTATCTATCCAAGCATTTGTCATTGGAGGGGATGACTAACATTTTGGGCTAATCTTGGGTAGAATACCACCGTATTGTGTTTCATACACATGTTCATAAGAGGAGCAGAATACAGGTAACTAGGGTAAAAGCTTGCATGGTATCCACATACTGTTTTTGACAGATAGCTAGAGCTGGGTGAATACTACAGAAAAGTTATTCATGTATTCACCTGAATTTTTAAATGATTTGGGTGTTTGTCTCCTCTTTGTGATTGTTTTTGTCTTAATATTCTAACAAATAAACTTATGGGAAAAGGATTCACAGAAAAAGCCAATTTTAAGTAAATACTTCAGAGTCACAGAAAAAGAGTAATTAATTTATGCATGTAACTATGCACACAAAACTCTTGATTATAAGAGCTATGCAATTTGAAAACAGGACTACATAGCCTATGCATCCAGATAAAGTTAACTGGCCTACTGATTTATTTCCATTTTTGACTGTTGAATATTTTAAACAAACAGCTAATACAAAATTATCAGATTGGCAGTATTTGAAAAAAGCCATAGGAAATTTCAGATGTCTAAATTTAAGAATTCACAAGAAGAACATGAAGCAATGGTTATTTTCATCAACTGAATAGTTTCAAACTAATTACTTGATCCTGTTCACAACATACAATATATAGAAGTGATAACATTCTAATATAATAAAGAACTTAGTTGGTCTGTCTGTCTGTAATGCTCTTGGAGCACTCTGGGTACTGAAACAACCAACCAGAGTGCTCCAGAAGGATTACAGGCAGGAGGTGGTGGAAGCGGTGATGGCGTGCTAGAGCACCACCATACATTCATAGATTAGATTCATGGATTGTAAGGCCAGAAGGGACCTCACAAAATCCTCAGGTCCACCCCCCTGCACCAAGCAGAAAAGATAACTGGGAGTCAGGTGATGGCAGGGATGGAGCAGGATGGCCGGGATGGAGGAGGTGGAGCGGTGCTGGCATAGCCCCGCTCCCCGGCCCTGCTTCTTGGAGGTACCAGTGGCACGGGGTGCTGGTGAAGGGGGACGGAGGTGATGGCAGGGCAAGCTCCCCCCCCCCACACTCCTGGGAGGTCGTGGCAGTGCAGGGAGGTGGGGGTTAGAGTTAGTAAGCTTACCCCTCCCCTCCCCCCAGGTCATTCTTGATGGGGAATTTGCTAGTACTGAGATAAAAAGCAGAAGCTTTTATTGGCTTTTCCTCAATTGTTATCTAGGGCTTTTTTAATGTGTATTTCTGCCAACCCTTTATGCAGGAGTAACCACAGCATTTGACTTCACAAACCTGTGCAATCAAATATGGCTGCAGGATCAAGTTCTGGCCTTATTCACATTTAGTGAGCAATCACCACTGAAATCAGTGCATCAAAAAGCATCCTATGAAATGTACTGGAAGGGGAATGGAGAGGAACAGAAGTACTAGCATAATAAATTCATAAAGGACAATGCCAACTCTGCTGTTATCTCAACAGCAGCTGGAACAGCCTATGATGTGCCAGTAGGTCTCTGAATAAAAGAATACTGTGTAGAGAAGAACTGATGAATTTTATTAAACATAATTCATAGCAGAAGTCTTTTGGTTATCTGTCTGTAGTATGGCTACTCTGTTTCATCTGTCAGATTTTACCTAGTGGTAGGCAATTTGACACCTGTAACTGTCCATCTATACTGGTAACCAAAGAAATGAAGTTGAACAGCTTTCTGAATAAATAAAGTAGTTCACAATGCCTTTATACGGTGTAAAAATAAATCTGGTGGCAGCCTTTTTGGGAAGTATCACGTTTATATTTTACTTTCTTTGAAGGAAACATATGAGGACTTAATATGTAGCACAGCTCGGATTTGATTCTCTGGACAACAAAGGTAAGGTTTCTATTCTCTTAGGTCATTCAGACCTGTGCACCTGCCCCTCTTAGGAAAGTCCATCCCTTTTATGCAACATTAAGGAAACAATTCCCTGAGAAAGAGGAGTTAGAGGAAAATAAAATGAAGGAGGGAAAATGGTTTTCCAGAATGGTTCTACTGAGGGACCTCTTACAGGTTCCCCTAGCCCTTCTAAGGGAAAAGGCTCAGTGGTACTCGGTCAGGCTCAATCCACCTTTCCAGGTGAAAACAGGTAAGTCACATGCTATAAGACTGTAACTCAGAGGAAGATGTTCAGTGTTAAAGAGTTATGTGCTGAGATATAAATGGCATCTTGAGTCCAGGGAACATTGAGGGTAGGGAACAGAAAAGGTGTCAACTTTTAGGGAGAGCATCTCTGTAGTAAGAAACTTTGAAGAGGAAAAGCCATTTTGTTGTAGGAAATCCCCAGCAGAAAGGAATAAAGAAACTCTTAATTCCCACACAAAGTTGGAGTGGAGTGAAACCTGTAAGAGATCCTGAGCTGAAGAAAAGATATGATCTACATGTGGAACTTCTTACTGTTAATTAATGGCTGATTTATTTAAGACTTACAGCCAACATCCTAAAAGAAGGGGACTAAACTTGTGTGTCTGCTAAGAGGCCTCAATTCACTGACTTAACAGCATTTCATTACAGAAGGCTGAATTAGCTGAGCCATTCAATCATACCTTAATAACTCATTTTCCAAAGCCTGGCCACTAGGTCCTGCCCAGGCTTTTTAATAATAATTTGTAAAGTTTTTAAAGCTTTTGATTCTGTTATTGGTTTGAAACATTGGTCTGAAAGACTGGTACAAACTAGGGACAGAATGGGCAAGGAGACTCAAGTAGATTCCACGTACTATGAGCCAGGGTACCCTTAAGGCTTAGGGATCATTTCATTTCAGTGGGATTTTGGGAGGACCTGAGATTACATGGGGGAGCAGTGCTTTCAGAAAAGAGGTGAGCTGAGTTCAATCTGCAGTTCTAAAATAGCAAAAGCAAAGCTGTTCAGGATTATATCCCCAGAAGAACAAGAAAATCTAGACTAGCTGCCACCAAGTGTGCTTGGCACCACTAGAGAAGATCCCAGTGTATTCTACAGACTTCAGTGCTAATGGTAAAGCTCCTATTCGCTGCACTTGAAGCAGCCTCAAGTCTTCCAGTAGCAATGCTGCAGCATCCTGGGCAACAGCTGTAGGATACTGCAGTATTTTTTTAAACAAGGAAGTATCAGTTTAGGTTTGCAAATGCTGTAAAGATCTCCACTCTTTAGTGGGATTACAAACTGCAGCTGGGTGAGGAAACATGAGGCACAAATCTGTGCTACTCTCCAGCACTAGATAGTCTGTGCACCACTGCGATTAGTAGATGTATAGGAAAGTCTGGTATTTGCTTTTGCTGTGAGAAAAAGGTAAAGAAAACTGCAGCCTGCAGGGAGGTAGAAAAGCCACTGCTGTGCGGTCTTTCCCTTCCATTCCTCTTCCTTTTTTTTTCTTCATAAGAAGGGTGTTCCTTTCCTCAAAGAGAGAGAGGGAGTGGGAGAAAGACTGTAAACTGTCCAAAAGGACCGTGAGAAAACAGGAAGCTTTGAAAAGTACAAGAGAAAGCAAGATGAAATCTATTTGCAGGCGGTTCCCCAGGGACATGTGAGCCATTGTTAAGCAGGCAGT